GTACATAGGGTATGTAGCTAGTGATATTTTATCATGTACATAGGGTATGTAGCTAGTGATATTTTCTCATGTACATAGGGTATGTAGCTGGTGATATTTTATCATGTACATAGGGTATGTAGCTAGTGATATTTTCTATTGTACATAGGGTATGTAGCTGGTGATATTTCCTCTCGTTCTTTGTTTTCATCTATTTACATGGTTTGTAGATCTGGAAAAAACTTGTGGGATTTCATAAATTTGGGTTTTACTTTGGAAAACTCCTGATAGTTCAAAAAACCCCTTAATTTTGATGAAACAGTTTATGAATTTTCCTGTAAATAAAATAATGTATTTTTCAATTCTATTCCAATGACTTTTTTTTGATAAAAATCTGTTTAACTAATTCTGTTATCCAGGATTAATTTATTGTGGTGCACAGTTACTATATACATCACTTCTGGTATTGAAAAATAAAGTCATTACATCACAAAATCTACTACCCTGTAACCAACAATAAAAACATATGATTATTTAAAAACGAAGTTCACAATTATATTTTTAATGAAATATTTTCTAAAACTATAGCATTTCTCTAAGTTGAAAAATCAGAATTAAGAAAATATTAGTTTTTGCAACTTTACAAAAATCTACCATTTTGATGATAAATACAGATACATAGGCTTAATTGCAAATATTTTTAAAAACTCAGGATATTGCTTTCATTATGATCAAATTTTTGTCATCTTTGGTACCTAAGTATTTTGGCTTACAATATATACAGTTTTATATGTCTTTGAGTATTTTAAATGCTTAATTTTTGTGTAAAATTTGTGCTAATTCAGAAATGAACAATACTCGTGATTACTGTAGGTTACAATCAAACCTCAAGGTATTAAACACTTGAAAGTCACTGATCCCACCCCTGAATTCTATGCTTAACTTTCTATTAAAATTAGAACCTGCAAATTGGACAACGTCGTTTGCTCTCAAAGAGCAAAGGTTTTTTTATTTTAATCTTTTGAAAAAATGTCAACTATAGATCTCAATTCTTTGGACAAAAATAAAAAAAACTCTGGTACAGTAGAGTTAATGACACAGTCTTCTCTATACAAACCGTTGCATCATTTTTGGATTGGACAAAAATAATCCAGTTATTTCTTTACATTTCAAGGCCATACCTGTTTTCGATCTGAGAAGCTTTCAGGATTAATTAATATTGCATTCAAACTCCTGCATGATTAAGATCATCAACTAATAGAACTTTTCAAAATAAAAAAAACTTGTTGGTATCTTCAACAACATGCAGCATTCATTTCTTATATATAGACAACAATGTTATGACTGGAATAAATGCAGTGTAACCTGTTGCAAATTTACAGAAGCAATGTGAATCAGCTCAGTTCACTCTTGAAGTGGTAACTTAGGCTGGTAGCCAGTTCTTATGAAAACTGCTGTGGGTCAGCCTGTGGGCAACATTATTGTTGAACAAACAAGCTTACAAAAACAGTAGATATTACATAATAAAAAATTTAGATTACAATATAAAATTGCATGTAAATGAAAGAAGTGTAATTAATATGTAGCGTAAACAGCTATAAATATCTGAAAATATAGCTTTTGGTGCATCTTGTACATTAATTTTTGTATAATATAAAATGATTTTGGGAAAAAAACTTAAGTCTGAAAAACATTACCAGGCCTGTTTGAACCATGTTTAAATTATAAATATTTTTAATGTGACCTTTCAACTACATTTTAACTTAAAGTATGAATATTTATTATGTGGCATGGTGGTTTGTTTGAATTTCGTTTGCTTATAAATAATTATTTCAATTTATATGTTTTGTTTTTTGATATTCATGATTATAAACTGCATATTTACTGGGCTAAATGTTTCACAAGGGTAATATCCTGAATAATGGCTGAGATACCAACTAGGGTAGTTTTCAAGTGAGGAGCTTCAATAGTTGCTGAGATACCAACTAGGGTAGTTAGTTTTCAAGTGAGAAGCTTCAACATTGGCTGAGATACCAACTAGGGTAGTTAGTTTTCAAATGAGAAGCTTCAATAGTTGCTGAGATACCAACTAGGGTAGTTAGTTTTGAAGTAAGAACTGTCAATAGGATAGTTGGGTTTAGAGTGAGAACCTTGAAATATTGGGTGATATACCAACTTTGGTAGTTATGATGTATACTTGAAAACCATCAAGTACTGGTTGAGATACTTACTAGAGCAGTTAAAATGTTGAAGTGAGACATCAGATAGTTGTTGAGATACTTAATAGAGCAGTTAAAATGTTAAAGTGAGACATCAGATAGTTGTTGAGATACTTACTAGAGCAGTTAAAATGTTGAAGTGAGACATCAGATAGTTGTTGAGATACTTACTAGAGCAGTTAAAATGTTAAAGTGAGACATCAGATAGTTGTTGAGATACTTACTAGAGCTAGTTAAAAATGTTGAAGTGAGACATCAGATAGTTGTTGAGATACTTACTAGAGACAATGTAACAGGTCAAATTGTGTTTTATAGAGATAATGTAACAGGTCAAATTGTGTTTTATAGAG